AAGACAGGATACATCCCTCACACATTCCTTTCCTGATTTTGAACCATTCAGTGTTTCCTTACTCTGTTCTGACCACTGCTTCTTGGTCCAAGTATAGGTTTTACATGATTAGAATTAGGTCTTCATGGATTCCCATGCTTCTCAATGTTAGCCACAATTTGTTGTGGTCCACACAGTCAAATGTCCTTGTGCAGTCAATGAGACACAGATAGACATTCCTCTGGTACTCACTGCTTTCAGCCAAGATCCATTTGACTTTGGTTATGATGTCCCTAGTGCCACAGCCTCTTCTAAATCCAGCTTGCACTTCTGGCAGTTCTTTTTTGATGTACCACTTCAGTCAATTTTTTATAATCTTCTAACAAGGATTTTGCTTGTGTGTGATATTAGTGATATTGTTAGATAATTCTCACACTGTCAGATAACATTTATTTTTGAAATGGGAATAAATATGTATCTCTTCCAGTCAGTTGGTGAAGTAGTTGTCCTCCAGATTTTTTTGCATAGACTGGTGAGCACGTCCAGGGCTGCATCTGCTTGTCAAAATATCTCAACTGGTACGTCATCAATTCCTCAGGCCTTGGGGTTTTTTTAATTCATTTTTTTTTTTAGGCCTTGTTTTTTGACACTTCCTTCAGAATAGCCTGAACTTTCGCCTTCATCACTATTGCCTCTTGATCATATGTTATTTAATGAAATTCTTCTGTGGCAGCCAATTATTTTTGGTACAATGACTCTGTGTACTCCTCCCATCTTCTTTCAGCGTTTCCTTTATCACTCACTATTCTATCCATAGCATCCTCATGATTTTTTGTCTTGCTCTGGTAGTCACTGTGTCAGTCCATGTCTTTGTATCTTCCTCTCTTTCACTGATACTACCTATCTCAGCATAATATCACTTTGCAAGGACTGGTTCTTCCTGAAGACATGCCCAAAGTAAGTGAGATGAAATATCACCATCCTTGCCTCTAACAAGCACTTTATTTGTACTACCTTCAAGACAGAAAAATTTGTTCTTCGGCAGTCAATGAAATAGTCAACTCTCTTCATCAACACCACAACTCAAAAGCATCAATTCTTCTTCTATTATCCTTATTCATTTTCTAACTTTCAAGTGAAAATACTATAGCTTTAATCAGGTACATTTTAGTCTTTAAACTGACATCATTACTCTCAAGAATTTTTGAAAGGCCTTTGACAGTGGATTTCTCCAATATAATATCTTTTGATAGAAATATACATATGTAAATATATATATGTGTGTGTGTGTGTATATAT